GGATGATAGCTATCTGAGGGCAGGCTGCCAGCCAGCATCCACACAGGAGGATGATAGCTATCTGAGAGGAGGCTGTCAGCCAGCATCCACACAGGAGGATGATAGCTATCTGAGGGCAGGCTGACAGCCAGCATCCACACAGGAGGATGATAGCTATCTGAGGGCAGGCTGTCAACCAGCATCCACACAGGAGGATGATAGCTATCTGAGAGCAGGCTGTCAGCCAGCATCCACACAGGAGGATGATAGCTATCTGAGGGTAGGCTGTCAGCCAGCATCCACACAGGAGGATGATAGCTATCTGAGGGCAGGCTGTCAGCCAGCATCCACACAGGAGGATGATAGCTATCTGAGGGCAGGCTGTCAGCCAGCATCCACACAGGAGGATGATAGCTATCTGAGGGCAGGCTGTCAGCCAGCATCCACACAGGAGGATGATAGCTATCTGAGGGCAGGCTGTCAGCCAGCATCCACACAGGAGGATGATAGCTATCTGAGAGCAGGCTGTCAGCCAGTATCCACACAGGAGGATGATAGCTATCTGAGAGCAGGCTGTCAGCCAGCATCCACACAGGAGGATGATAGCTATCTGAGGGCAGGCTGTCAGCCAGCATCCACACAGGAGGATGATAGCTATCTGAGAGCAGGCTGTCAGCCAGTATCCACACAGGAGGATGATAGCTATCTGAGAGCAGGCTGTCAGCCAGCATCCACACAGGAGGATGATAGCTATCTGAGAGCAGGCTGTCAGCCAGCATCCACACAGGAGGATGATAACTATCTGAGAGCAGGCTGTCAGCCAGCATCCACACAGGAGGATGATAGCTATCTGAGAGCAGGATGATTTCTGTCATCCCTCGCATCATTATTACCACCATTATAATAGGCTAATCATCATTACGAACATCACAGCCAGGAGCTGTGATTCGAACCCCTGTAAGCACATGTAGGTGAGCACACGTAAGGGGATTGGAATCATTTTGCATATATTGATAATAATAATAATAATAATAATGATAATAATAATAATAATAATAGTAATAACTTATACAGACCATAGCTGACATTAATTATATCAAATTAGGTCAATTTTGTCCCCAGGATGCCACCCATACCAGTCCACTAACACCCAGGTACCTACTTACTGCTGGGTATGCCAACATTGCAGAGGCATATAACAGGTCCAGGGACTGTACTACAACATTGCAGAGGCACATAGTAATATCTGTATTACTACAAGTACATGTACAAGGTATACAGACCATAGCTGACATCTGTTCTGTTGTAGATTTGCCTCTGTAATTGTCCGGCCCGGGCCTTTTCTAAGAGGTGGCCCGGCATTGGCTCCCTGTCGTGGGAGTGTCTCAGACCAGTGTCTGCCATGGGAGGAGGTACAAGTACCTCCTCATCTTCTGCGACGAACTGTCCCCAGGCCTATTGCCATTTCCTGCCCCCTACGGGGCTCAGAGGGAGAAGCTAGACACCTTGGGCTACCACAAACCCCGCCCACACTGGGCTTGAAGGATGTGGCAGCTGTATAGCAGCAGACAGGATCCTTTTGGAGCCACACCCCAGCTTTGGGGATTAAGCCCGAGCACTGGGGAAGCTCAAGAATGCCTCTTGCTGTGTGTGTGTTGCTGATGCTACAACTTCACTTGTCCATTGGACTCTCCTCCTCCATCTGACATCAATGATATGCTACTATACAGAAAGCAACTTGTTATACAGAGCATATCAGACAAATTAAGTCAGTTTTGTCCCAGGATGAGACCCACACCAGTCCACTATCACACAGGTACCCATTTTACTGATGGGTGAACATAGACAATGGGTGTAAGGAAATACGTCCAATGTTTCCACCCCTTCACCAGGAATCGAACCCGGACCCTCACCATATGAACCCAGAGCTTTTGCCACCAGGCCACGAGGCACCCACAATAATATTGTGGATCTCATGTTGGGCTCCAGACTGGTGATACCACTAAATATACCAAAAGATATTAATGGAAGGCCTCGGCCAGATAATCAAAAGTGCCAAATGTGGGTCGTCGAATGACTAAGACTCACGTCAGGAAACACTTGTCCTGTTTCCTGACAAACATTACTAAGCTAACCTGTAAGGATATTACCAGATCTCGACCTAAAAGAAGGACAGGAATATCAGTCTTATAGTATTCAAGGTGGCTTGTATAGTTGTCCTGTAATGCCATTTGGGATGAAGAATGTACCTGATTTATCTCAAAGATTTATACCTGGAGAGGGTTCCGGGTGTCAATGCCCCTGCGGCCCAGTCTGTGACCAAGCCTCATGGTGGACCAGGGCCTGGTCAACCAGGTTGTTATGTTGGCTGCACGTAAACCAAAGTACGAACCACAGCCCGGCTGGTCAGGTACTGACTTCAGGTGTCTGTCCAGTGCCTGCTTGAAGACAGCCAGGGGTCTTGAAGACAGCCAGGGGTCTTGAAGACAGCTAGGTGTTTTGAAGACAGCCAGGGGTCTTGAAGACAGCCAGGGGTCTTGAAGACAGCCAGGAGTCTTGAAGACAGCCAGGGGTCTTGAAGACAGCTAGGTGTCTTCAAGACAGCCAGGGGTCTTGAAGACAGCCAGGGGTGTTGAAGACAACCAGGGGTCTTGAAGACAGCCAGGGGTCTTGAAGACACCAGGAGTCCCTTTGAAGACAGCCAGGGGTCTTGAAGACAGCCAGGGTCCTTGAAGACAGCCAGGAGTCTTGAAAGACAGCTAGGTGTCTTGAAGACAGCCAGGGGTCTTGAAGACACCAGGGTGTTGAAGACAACCAGGGGTCTTGAAAGACAGCCAGGGATCTTGAAGACAGCTATTGTCTTGCAAGACAGCCAGGGGTCCTTGAAGACAGCCAGGGGTGTTGAAGACAACAGGGGTCTTGAAGACAGCCAGGGTCTTGAAGACAGCTAGGGTCTTGAAGACAGCCAGGGTCTTGAAGACAGCAAAGGTTTGAGAAGTCAGGTTACTTGAAAACAGCAGGGCATGGAACACTGTCCGTGTCTTGAAGACATCTAGGGTCTTGAAGACTGCAAGGATTTACCAGATACTCGGACTAAAAACCAGGCCAGAATGAACAGTCTTATGAAGTATTCTAAGAAGCAGGCTTGAAGTAGCCAGGGTGTTGAAGACACATTGGGGATGAAGAAGCCTGTTTATCTAAGAAGAGTTCCTCTGGAAGAGGGTCCAGGGTGTCTTAGCCCGCGGGCTTGAAGATCACCAGGTCTTGAACAGCCACAGGTCTTGGACCAAGGAGCTAGAAGCAACCAGGTCTTAAGACAAATGGCTGCTGAAACAGCCAGGGTCGAACACAGCGGGGTCTAGGACTGACTTCAGGTCTTGAATCCAGTGCTGCTTGAAGACACCAGGGTCTTGAAGACAGCCTAGGGTCTTGAAGACAGCTAGGTGTTTGAAGACACCAGGGTCTTGAAGACAGCCAGGAGTCTTGAAGACAGCCAGGGGTCTTGAAGACAGCTAGTGTCTTAAGACAGCCAGGGGTCTTGAAGACAGCCAGGGGTGTTGAAGACAACCAGGGGTCTTGAAGACAGCCAGGGGTCTTGAAGACAGCCAGGGGTCTTGAAGACAGCTAGGTGTCTTAAGACAGCCAGGGTTTGAAACAACAGGTTGAAAGACAACCAGGGGTCTTGAAGACAGCAAGGAGTCTTGAAGACAGCCATTGGTCTTGAAGACAGCCAGGGGTCTTGAAGACAACCAGGGGTCTTGAAGACAGCCAGGGGTCTTGAAGACAGCAGGGTCTTGAAGACACAGGAGTCTTGAAGACGCAGGGTCTCTGAAGACAGCCAGGGATCTATTGGGTATTCCCCCTAATGTATGCTGGGAGGCAGTTGAACAGTCTTGGGCCTTTAACAGTTCAGGAACCTCAAGCGCTCCCAGTAATTGAGGTGTTTTATCTCCGTTATGTGCGCCGTGAAGGTTCTCTGTACATTTTCTAGGTCAGCAATTTCTCCTGCCTTATATATTATGAATACTTACGTATTATGAATGCTTACGTATTATGAATATACTTACGTATTACAAATACTTACGTATTACGAATGCTTACGTATTATGAATATACTTACATATTACAAATACTTACGTATTACGAATGCTTTCGTATTATGAATATACTTACATATTACAAATACTTACATATTACGAATATGTATTATGAATACTTAAGTATTATGAATACTTACGTATTACGAATATACTTACATATTACAAATACTTACGTATTACGAATGCTTACGTATTACAAATATACTTACGTATTACAAATACTTACGTATTACGAATACGTATTATGAATACTTAAGTATTATGAATACTTACGTATTACGAATACTTACGTATTACGAATACTTACGTATTACGAATGCTTACGTATTACAAATACTTACATATTACAAATACGTATTACAAATACTTACGTACTGCGAATACTTACGTACTACGAATACTTACGTACAATGAATACTTACGTACTACGAATACTTACGTACAATGAATACTTACGTACTACGAATACTTACGTATTACGAATACTTACGTACAATGAATACTTACGTACTACGAATACTTACGTATTACGAATACTTACGTAGAATGAATACTTACGTACTACGAATACTTACGTACAATGAATACTTACGTACTACGAATACTTACGTATTACGAATACTTACGTACAATGAATACTTTTGTATTACAAATATATGTGGACCCTCGAATTTCGTCATGCCTTTTCTGTATGCAAAACTATTTTTATTATCAAAAAAATATACTTTTTGTTAATATTTCCCATAGGAAATAATGTAAATCCAATTAAACCATTCCAGACACCCAAAAATATTAACAAAACATACATTTTATAGATAATAAAAATAGTTTGGCATACAGAAAAGACAGGACGAAATTCGAGGGTCCACTGTACTTACATATTCATAAACACCAAAATTTTGGATACAAATAAGACACATATTTCTGTTATAATATATTTCAAGGTCTTCGTTATATACAAACATCTCCACAAAATATATCGGCAGAAACATCAGGAAATTTTTAAGAGATACGAACATACGAGAATTTCAATATATCTCTTCGTAGCCTCGAGAAATTTTACATAGGGCTAAATGTAGCGTTTTTTTTTTTTTTAATATACATTGACAGTTGTTGTTATTATGATGTGAATTTTGAAGGACTTAAATTATAGGTGAAAATGATAATTTTGGGCTGAAATCCTGCCATTATCCGGTCTTTATACCTGTATATAGGTGGACTAAATGTTATGGTCCAGGATGGACCAGGTACTATGGCCCAGGATGGACCAGGTACTATGGTCCAGGATGGACCAGGTACTATGGCCCAGGATGGACCAGGTACTATGGCCAGGATGGACCAGGTACTATGGCCCAGGATGGACCAGGTACTATGGCCCAGGATGGACCAGGTACTATGGCCCAGGATGGACCAGGTACTATGGCCCAGGATGGACCAGGTACTATGGCCCAGGATGGACCAGGTACTATGGCCCAGGATGGACCAGGTACTATGGCCCAGGATGGACCAGGTACTATGGTTCAGGGTGGACCAAATATGATATAATTTAATTTTATTCAACAACCGTAACCGTACAATTCAACACAGTTATAAGGGGAATCAATGAAAATCCTCCAGCCTCTGAAGTAGCAACTTTAGAATTGAATAGCATTACAATAGAGTTGAAACCCTCTATGTATTAACTATACCTGGGGAAAACAAATGACAATCGCTTACTAAACTTTGGTATCCAAATTTATTTTCTCAGTTGTGTTCTAAACTCTATATAGTTTCCCATATTTCACATTTTGTGAGGATTTTTTCAGCTCGTATTTGCATAATGAGTCGAGGAGATGTTTTATTCGTCAAGAAAAAAGTGCATCAAGAGCCCCTTTATTTCCCAGCGTGGGAATGGGGGGTTAAATCAGTGATTTTGGCACCTTGATCCGACGCCATTTGTCAAAAATATTGTAACCCATTTTTTCTAATATTTCCCTTTATCTTCTGCTCATTGTGCTCAGAGAAACAGGGAAAAATGTCTATTATATTTTTTTTACATATATATGAATCATTTTGGCTTTATTTTTTATTTATATGATGATAAGTGAAGATCCTGAGCGGCAGCAGGAGGCACCGGTGACCCAGACGTTGTATTTCCTGAGCGAGAAAAGGAGATTTGTTGACATTGTCATGGGTAACTTTTGTATAAATATAATATAACATTCAATGATACATTTAAGGAATTAATTACATTCAAAAATAATTTTTTACATTATTCATTCGAATTTTTTTTCCTCATTAGAGCCTAATTTATTTTTTATAACCTAAAAATAAATTCAAGGAATATTGTTAGAGATTTTAAAATTACCAGATATACAATAGCAGAAGAAAAAGTTGAGTAATTAGCATAGTTTTTGCTAGCCTACGCGTCTCCACAATTTCATTTCTCGATTTCAAAAGACATTGCTGTCTGTTTATGATGGCACAATTTCGGTAATACAAGCTTCCCTGATTGATATATTAGGCACAGAGTGGATAAAGTGGCCATATAGAATTGATAAAGTGGCCATATAGAATTGATAAAGTGGCCCCGTTAGGTCCCATCCAAGTGCTCGCCCACTTTCTTACACCCCTGATATCATCTATGACAGTAACTGATCACAGACTGGGTCACAAGGGGCGCTGACCCCCAAAAACCCTCTCCAGGTAGCTGATGTTATAGTTACGCATTGACCAACACATCAAATAAAGTATCAATATGGGCCGCTAGACATCCATACATTGGACCTGCCTAACATGGGCCAGTAGGCCTTCTGCAGTGCTCTTATGCTAACCTCAAAGCTCCATAATGCTTCCATTACCTCAGTTTTCAAATACAAAACGAGCCTGTATTTTCATTTTCGCCATCTTGTAGTCAAAAAATTGAAATAGAGAAACGCTTTGTGGATATATATTACAAAAGCAGTGGGAATATATTAATATATAATTTACAAAAGCAGCAATGACGACCTCGGACAAATATACAAAAAGTTTTTTTCAAATCTATGTACTGACGGAACAACATTGTCTAATTCTCCAGCATTTCTGCAGAAATATATTGTGGGAAAGGCAATTTTTTTGTGTCAACGTCTTGCAGAGTTTCATTATCTCATGTTTTATTGTGTAAAACTTTATTTTGTCATGTTTTTGGGTTATTTAGAGCCATATTATGTCATGTTTTGGGTTATTTAGAGCCATATTATGTCATGTTTTGGGTTATTTAGAAGTCTATCAAGGTATGAGTTGATGAAGCTCCACACACACATTGTCTCATTATAAATGTGGTCTTGAAAAATGTCTTTCCTGCACTTATGCAGTTGTCATTAAATAAAATAAAGCTCCCGACACCAGAGGCAATAATAAAAAAACAGTACAAATAAATATTATAAATAATTGAAGCTACACTTCCCGCCACCAAGTTCCAACAATATTCCCAGCTGCAAACCAAGATGGCGGCCGGTAGGGTCAGCACGTGCTCCCCTTATCTCTCATTTGCCTGGAGTGTTCCCACTCGCCAGGAAGTGCGAGTCTTCGCCGTTGCCTCCTACATCACCGTCAGCGCAGGCAGGGTCACCTAGGTTAAAGCAGAAGTTGCGGCACTGCCTGTCTAGGTTGCTAGAGCAGTAGGAGTGTATGGCCCGTCTAGACACCTTAAGTCCTCTGAAGTCTATGCCGGCAGCGCTGGCTTGGGCCAACTGCTCCAGTTGTTGCTCCAGGTTCGACTCCCTGATGTTTTTTAAGGGTGGTGAGTGATTTTTAGGGTATTAAGGGGAATTAGGGTGGGTATAGAGATTAAGGGATGGTGAAAAGTGTAATTACAATGGATGTTATGTGTTGGTGCCCTAAACGTCAGCAACACGTGTTATATTTTGTGGTTGCAGGGGTCGAGTCATAGCTCCTGGCCCCACCTCTTCATTGGTCACTACTAGGTCACTCTCTCCCTGCTCCATGAGCTTCATCATACCTCTTCTTAAAGCTGTGTATGGATCCTGCCTCCACTACATCACTCTCCAGATTGTTCCACTTCCTAACATCCCTGTGACTCATCTGAGTCTTCAACTTCCAGTTGTGTGTGTACTCACCTATTTCTACTCACTTTCTAGTTGTATAGGTTGAGTCTCAGCTCTTGGCCCTGCCTGCTAAACTAGTACCTGCTTGGGTCACTCCTGGTGTGTCTATCACTGATAATAATATTTATTAATAATAATAACGATAATAATAATAATAATAATAATAATAATAATAATAATAATAATAATAGTATTTATTTCTAGCAGTAGCTGATGCAACTTATACAGACCATAGTTGACACCCATGACATACTGCTATATAGAAAGTACCTTGTTATGTTGAGCATTTCCTGCAAATTATGTCAGTTTTGTCCCAGGATGTGACCCACACCAGTCCACTAACACCCAGGATGTGACCCACACCAGTCCACTAACACCCAGGATGTGACCCACACCAGTCTACTAACACACCAGGATGTGACCCACACCAGTCACTAACACCCAGGATGTGACCCACACCAGTCCACTAACACCCAGGATGTGACCCACACCAGTCCACTAACACCCAGGATGTGACCCACACCAGTCCACTAACACCCAGGATGTGACCCACACCAGTCCACTAACACCAGGATGTGACCACCCATACCAGTCCACTCAAACCCAGGATGTGACCCACACCAGTCCACTAACACCCAGGATGTGACCCACACCAGTCCACTAACACCCAGGATGTGACCCACACCAGTCCACTAACACCCAGGATGTGACCCACCCAGTCCACTAACACCCAGGATGTGACCCACACCAGTCCACTAACACCCAGGATGTGACCCACACCAGTCCACTAACACCCAGGATGTGACCCACACCAGTCCACTAACACCCAGGATGTGACCCACACCATTCCACTAACACCCAGGATGCCACCCACACCAGTCCACTAACACCCAGGATGTGACCCACACCAGTCCACTAACACCCAGGATGTGGCCCACACCACTCCACTAACACCCAGGATGTGACCCACACCATTCCACTAACACCCAGGACGTGACCAACACCACACCCTCACCAACGTCTAACACCCAGGATGCCACCCACACCAGTCCACTAACACCCAGGATGCCACCCACACCAGTCCACTAACACCCAGGATGCCACCCACACCAGTCCACTAACACCCAGGATGCCACCCACACCACTCCACTAACACCCAGGATGCCACCCACACCACTCCACTAACACCCAGGATGCCACCCACACCAGTCCACTAACACCCAGGATGCCACCCACACCAGTCCACTAACACCCAGGATGCCACCCACACCAGTCCACTAACACCCAGGATGCCACCCACACCAGTCCACTAACACCCAGGATGCCACCCACACCACTCCACTAACACCCAGGATGCCACCCACACCAGTCCACTAACACCCAGGATGTGACCCACACCAGTCCACTAACACCCAGGATGCCACCCACACCAGCCCACTAACACCCAGGATGTGACCCACACCAGTCCACTAACACCCAGGATGCCACCCACACCAGTCCACTAACACCCAGGATGCCACCCACACCACTCCACTAACACCCAGGATGCCACCCACACCAGTCCACTAACACCCAGGATGCCACCCACACCAGTCCACTAACACCCAGGATGCCACCCACACCAGTCCACTAACACCCAGGTACCTACTTACTGCCAGGTGAACACTGACAGCAGGTGTCTTAAGGAAATACATCGTAATTTTTCCACCCGTACCGGAGATCGAACCACGGTCTTTATTATTATCAGTGGACATGGGCCTCAGGTGATGTGGGAATGATAGAGGTCAGGTAAGATAGGATAAGTTAGAAGTGATTAAGTAAAAATATTAATTAGTAGCAGCCTAAACTCGGTAGGCCTATTTAAATACCTGAAAAGCAAATGTAACATTAGAACGCATGACATCCACGGTTCTTGATCGCAGGGATTGGAGCTGTTTACCTGTTAGGGGTGTGGGGAGGTTGTCAGGGTTGTGGGGAGGTTGTCAGGGGTGTGGGGAGGTTGTCAGGGTTGTGGGGAGGTTGTCAGGGGTGTGGGGAGGTTGTCAGGGTTGTGGGGAGGTTGTCAGTTGTGTGGGGAGGTTGTCAGGGGTGCGGGGAGGTTGTCAGGGTTGTGGGGAGGTTGTCAGGTGTGTGGGGAGGTTGTCAGGGTTGTGGGGAGGTTGTCAGGGGTGTGGGGAGGTTGTCAGGGTTGTGGGGAGGTTGTCAGTTGTGTGGGGAGGTTGTCAGGGGTGGGGGAGGTTGTCAGGGTGTGGGGAGGTTGTCAGGTGTGTGGGGAGGTTGTCAGGGGTGTGGGGAGGTTGTCAGGGTGGAGTGTCGGGTTGTGGGGAGGTTGTCAGGTGTGTGGGGAGGTTGTCAGGGGTGTGGGGAGGTTGTCAGGGGTGGGGGAGGTTGTCAGGGTTGTGGGGAGGTTGTCAGGGGTGTGGGGAGGTTGTCAGGGGTGTGGGGGGTTGTCAGGTGTGGGGAGGTTGTCAGTTGTGTGGGGAGGTTGTCAGGGTGGGGAGGTTGTCAGGGGTGTGGGGAGGTTGTCAGGGTTGTGGGGAGGTTGTCAGTGGGTTGTGTGGGGAGGTTGTCAGGGTTGTGGGGAGGTTGTCAGGTGTGTGGGGAGGTTGTCAGGGGTGCGGGGAGGTTGTCAGGGTTGTGGGGAGTTGTCAGGTTGTGGGGAGGTTGTCAGGGTTGTGGGGAGGTTGTCAGGCTGTGTGGGGAGGTTGTCAGGGTGTGGGGAGGTTGTCAGGGTGGGGAGGTTGTCAGGGTGTGGGGAGGTTGTCAGGGTGTAGGGAGGTTGTCAGGCTGTGGGGAGGTTGTCAGGGGTGTGGGGAGGTTGTCAGGCTGTGGGGAGGTTGTCAGGGGTGTGGGGAGGTTGTCAGGCTGTGGGGAGGTTGTCAGGTGTGTGGGGAGGTTGTCAGGGGTGTGGGGAGGTTGTCAGGCTGTGGGGAGGTTGTCAGGCTGTGGGGAGGTTGTCAGGGGTGTGGGGAGGTTGTCAGGCTGTGGGGAGGTTGTCAGGCTGTGGGGAGGTTGTCAGGCTGTGGGGAGGTTGTCAGGGGTGTGGGGAGGTTGTCAGGCTGTGGGGAGGTTGTCAGGGGTGTGGGGAGGTTGTCAGGCTGTGGGGAGGTTGTCAGGCTGTGGGGAGGTTGTCAGGGGTGTGGGGGGTTGTCAGGCTGTGTGGGAGGTTGTCAGGCTGTGGGGAGGTTGTCAGGTGTGGGGAGGTTGTCAGGTGTGGGGAGGTTGTCAGGCTGTGGGGAGGTTGTCAGGGTGTGGTGGGGCAGGTTGATCAGGCTGTGGGGAGGGTTGTCAGGGGTGTGGGGAGGTTGTCAGGCTGTGGGGAGGTTGTCAGGTGTGGGGAGGTTGTCAGGCTGTGGGGAGGTTGTCAGGCTGTGGGGAGGTTGTCAGGGGTGTGGGGAGGTTGTCAGGCTGTGGGGAGGTTGTCAGGGGTGTGAGGAGGTTGTCAGGCCTGTGGGGAGGGTGGTGTAATGCAGCTGTGGGGGGGTTGTCAGGTGTGGGGAGGTTGTCAGGGCTGTGGGGAGGTTGTCAGGGGTGTGGGGAGGTTGTCAGGGTGTGGGGAGGTTGTCAGGCTGTGGGGAGGTTGTCAGGGTGTGGGGAGTTGTCAGTGTGGGGAGTTGTCAGTGTGGGGAAGTTGTCAGGCTGTGGGGAGGTTGTCGGGGGTGTGGGGAAGTTGTCAGGCTGTGGGGAGGTTGTCAGGGGTGTGGGGAAGTTGTCAGGCTGTGGGGAGGTTGTCAGGGGTGTGGGGAAGTTGTCAGGCTGTGGGGAGGTTGTCAGGGGTGTGGGGAAGTTGTCAGGCTGTGGGGAGGTTGTCAGGGTGTGGGGAAGTTGTCAGGCTGTGGGGAGGTTGTCAGGCTGTGGGGAGGTTGTCAGGCTGTGGGGAGGTTGTCAGAACTGACAGAATTGAAGCAATTTGATTCACCATTATGTCAACCTGGCCTCAACTCTTTCCACAACAGAAATACCACCATGAACCAGCTCACCGTCATAGGCCTACAAGCAGCAACCAGCCCTGAACCTCAGAGGGGAACCTCCAGAGAGGAAGTTGTGAGGTAATTGTCCTCTAGCGACCTCCTCCTCCTTCGGCCAGGGGAATTAAGAGAATCCCAGTAATTCTTCTCCGCCATGGCTCCTACAAGATCCTTGTAGTCACACCCGTGGGACAGACCTGCGTTGATGTAGCATGTTCGCTTCCTGGTGGGGAATGGTAGGCCTATTGTACTAGGGGAAGGTGGGGGGCCTGCTGTACCAGGGGAAGGTGTGGGGCCTGCTGTACCAGGGGAAAGTGTGGGGCCTGTTGTACCAGGGGAAGGTGTGGGGCCTGCTGTACCAGGGGAAGGTGTGGGGCCTGCTGTACCAGGGGAAGGTGTGGGGCCTGTTGTACCAGGGGAAGGTGTGGGGCCTGCTGTACCAGGGGAAGGCAGGGGGAGACGTAGCCACGAAAATGGTAGGGCTGTAGGGAGTGGGTTGTGTGTTGTAGGTGGGATAGGCTTATCCTTAGAGATGATAGGCTTGTTGTAGAGGGATAGTACTATCCTGAGAGATGATAGGCTTGTTGTGGAGGATAGGCCTATCCTCAGAGGTGATAGGCTTGTTCTAGGGGGACAGGCCTATCCTCAGAGGTGATAGGCGTGTTGTAGGGGGATAGGCCTATGCTCAGAGGTGATAGGCTTGTTGTAGGGGGCATAGTACTATCCTGTGAGGTGATAGGCTTGTACTCAGTGGGTTGTAAACTTGTATAAGAATAGGCCTTCCTGAGCACAGAACAGACAGGCCTATAAATGCTAGACTTAATATTTTCAAGTATATTTGTGTATACCTGAGATATACATGCACGGTTAAGTTAAGCCAAGTATATATATGTAGAGTATACATGCCAGCATTCGCATACACCAGAGGTATACATGCAGGGGTTACACAAGCCAGGGAATATACACCCAG